AAATGGAATATCGTAGGCACGAGCGGATAAATAATGTAGAACTAAATGAAATTGAGTCTTTTATCGATTAGTCTCCGGACTAAAACCAGCTCTTTTATTCGCCATTACGGAAGTAAACCGTAAAAATTACGTTTCCATCGAAACATTGCTATTTTCGGCGCTTCGTATAACGCGTTACTAAATTCGAGCCCAGCCAGTGCCCAGGGACCAACGAAAATCTGGTTCGAGAGTATTTTTCGAAGCTCCTCCACGGGCCGCTTAATTAATTAATTACTTTTTTCGCTTAAGCAAAGACGGAGGCGACCGCGCACGAAGAACAGAGAAAGAAAATTGTTTTCTTTTATGGAAAAAACTTCGAAGCCGTTGCAAGCGGCGGTAAATCCCCATCACTTTTCTTCCCATTTATTCTCTCGGGAAAATTGCCGTAGGGAAAACCTTTTCGACGCAGTTAAATACTGGAGTTGGCGAAAACTGCCGACGAAAAGAAGGCCGTCTTTAAGCGCTGTCGACTAAGCGGTTAAAACCGTTCCTAAGTATTAGGTGCTGGAAAGGAGTTCGTCCCTCCTATAGTACGACGCTAAAAGTAGAAAATTCCCATAAGTATCAGTTTTAACAAATAATTAATTTGAATGCAATATTTTCATCCGGCTAACGTTTATACTACAGTTGACCCCCCCCTACAGCGGCGGCCTTAACCATTGCGAGGCTCCGGGCGACAGATCTTTGCGAGGCCCTTCTCCTTTGTGCAAAGTATATGAATTGAAAGTAGGTATTTCTGATGATTGACAAGAAATGCAAAAGTTATAAATGAATAAATTTAGAGTTTTAAAGTATTATATTAGAAGATTTATAAAAGTTAACAAACATAAAGACGACAAATTATTATTTTTTTTACTCTTTCCACTCTGTGGGCATTAAGAGGGAAAACCCTAATGGTCCTGCTATAAGAGTATAGCAGGCCCATTAGAGTTCGGCAAGGCACACAATCGGGCGACAGGGTGGTGANGATCGGGATTCGAAACCGGACTCATCGATCTCCATCTGTATTTGTAGATTAAATACATCGAGGAAAACAAATATCGTACATATTGCCGTGTTTCTGTAACAAAAGTAAACAGAGGAAAGTTATTTTACGCGCCGCATTTAACTGATATTCGACCGCAGTTGTTGACGGCGTATTGAAAATTAAATGCATTTAATCGAGCTAATTATAAAGCGAAGCGGCAAGGCGGAGTAATTTAGATTCGTTTCATACTTAAGAGCAATATTCATCGTGTAAACTACCATCGTCTACGTCAAAATATTCTCAAATTCAAAGAGATCTCTGAGACGAAAAAGAAGAAAGATGCCAATGATTCAAAATACAAGTTTTTAACAGGAACTTTCGAAATTCACAGCATTTTTTCAACTATTACATATCTAAATATATAAAATTACTTGTCCTGACTGACTGAGTGATTCGTCACCGCCCAGAGCAAACCGCTGAACCTAAAGAGTTGAAATTTGGTACACTGTTAAGGTACGCCATAAGAATGCAAATGCACACTAAGAAGGGATTTTTGGAAATTCTCGCGCAGAGGGAGAGCATTAAGGCTTAACCCGAGGAACGGCTTCTACCGTACTATTTTAGAATAGTTATACTAACTTTTAAACATCATCCTATATGAATTTATCAGTGGTTTCCAATTATTTTTGTTTTACGAACAGCTTCGAGTACAAAACTTGTGGTCCGAATATCCTTTTATCGAGACATATTATGCAAAAATTTAATATTTAATATTATCGAGAACTTAGAATAATTTTGTTGGTTTTCTTCGAGAAATTATGATTTGGAAAATATCATATCTGTCTGAATCGACGATTACCAATTCGTTAAAATGAGTGTCCTCTTAAAAATTAAAAATCAGTATACCGTGAAAAGTACTTATTTATAGTATTCAGTTTCACGGGTAAATAATTATCTTTAACGAAATATTTTAAGACACTAGGGAGAACTTTTACCACAATATTATTCGATATTAGAAAGACAATAACTCTTTGAAAAGTTCAGGCTCGAAGGGAAGGGAGAAATCAAACTGTAAACTTAAGGGCAATGCGGGAGAAACAAATTAATATTCTGATATGTTTGATGGCACTAGTAAGACATTTGTCCCGAGTCTTTTATTGGCTAGAGGGCGAAAAGATGGCCAGATAGCGTTGGATGTTGCTACGTTGCTGGCTCGCTCCGCGTTCAAACTGCCCTCGAATCTGATGCGAGTGGAGACACCTATCTGCAATATTTCAAAACAGAGTAACACGGCGCAAGTTTTGAAATACTGTAGTTCGGAACGAACGCGCAATGGCCCGTAACAGCGGATTCTAAGCTCTCGGTAGAACATTCAATTTAGGAATTTTCAGATAACGTCATTTATGTTTCGAAAAACATTAAACTAGGATTTATCGTATCTCGAAATCCCATAATATTTGAAACTCGAATTTAGGTGCATTAGCAGTTCATAGTTCGAAACAAACAAAAATCGGTAATTTTACCAAATTAATAACAACTAATAATTGAGAATCTTAATGAAGTACCGAGGGAGGGTTATTTCCATCAAATTGAAAAATCCTCGCGGGCGAAGCCGCGGGTAACGGCTAGTTTTCAATAAAAATAATTTATATTGGAACATTTGACATCTCAGTAAAACAGTATAATTGTTTATACAGTACAGTTGACCCCCTATAACACTGTTGATAATTCCGTTTTATATGAATTCCATGTTGTACGAGTCACTTAGATTTTACAAATATGTGAGCCATTCACAGCCAGGCACACGTATTTGTAAAATCTAAGTGACTCGTACAACATGGAATTCGTATAAAACGGAATTATCAACAGTGTTATAGGGGGTCAACTGTACTGTATAAACAATTATACTGTTTTACTGAGATGTCAAATGTTCCAATATAAATTATTTTTATTGAAAACTAGCCGTTACCCGCGGCTTCGCCCGCGAGGATTTTTCAATTTGATGGAAATAACCCTCCCTCGGTACTTCATTAAGATTCTCAATTATTAGTTGTTATTAATTTGGTAAAATTACCGATTTTTGTTTGTTTCGAACTATGAACTGCTAATGCACCTAAATTCGAGTTTCAAATATTATGGGATTCCGAGATACGATAAATCCTAGTTTAATGTTTTTCGAAACATAAATGACGTTATCTGAAAATTCCTAAATTGAATGTTCTACCGAGAGCTTAGAATCCGCTGTTACGGGCCATTGCGCGTTCGTTCCGAACTACAGTATTTCAAAACTTGCGCCGTGTTACTCTGTTTTGAAATATTGCAGATAGGTGTCTCCACTCGCATCAGATTCGAGGGCAGTTTGAACGCGGAGCGAGCCAGCAACGTAGCAACATCCAACGCTATCTGGCCATCTTTTCGCCCTCTAGCCAATAAAAGACTCGGGACAAATGTCTTACTAGTGCCATCAAACATATCAGAATATTAATTTGTTTCTCCCGCATTGCCCTTAAGTTTACAGTTTGATTTCTCCCTTCCCTTCGAGCCTGAACTTTTCAAAGAGTTATTGTCTTTCTAATATCGAATAATATTGTGGTAAAAGTTCTCCCTAGTGTCTTAAAATATTTCGTTAAAGATAATTATTTACCCGTGAAACTGAATACTATAAATAAGTACTTTTCACGGTATACTGATTTTTAATTTTTAAGAGGACACTCATTTTAACGAATTGGTAATCGTCGATTCAGACAGATATGATATTTTCCAAATCATAATTTCTCGAAGAAAACCAACAAAATTATTCTAAGTTCTCGATAATATTAAATATTAAATTTTTGCATAATATGTCTCGATAAAAGGATATTCGGACCACAAGTTTTGTACTCGAAGCTGTTCGTAAAACAAAAATAATTGGAAACCACTGATAAATTCATATAGGATGATGTTTAAAAGTTAGTATAACTATTCTAAAATAGTACGGTAGAAGCCGTTCCTCGGGTTAAGCCTTAATGCTCTCCCTCTGCGCGAGAATTTCCAAAAATCCCTTCTTAGTGTGCATTTGCATTCTTATGGCGTACCTTAACAGTGTACCAAATTTCAACTCTTTAGGTTCAGCGGTTTGCTCTGGGCGGTGACGAATCACTCAGTCAGTCAGGACAAGTAATTTTATATATTTAGATATGTAATAGTTGAAAAAATGCTGTGAATTTCGAAAGTTCCTGTTAAAAACTTGTATTTTGAATCATTGGCATCTTTCTTCTTTTTCGTCTCAGAGATCTCTTTGAATTTGAGAATATTTTGACGTAGACGATGGTAGTTTACACGATGAATATTGCTCTTAAGTATGAAACGAATCTAAATTACTCCGCCTTGCCGCTTCGCTTTATAATTAGCTCGATTAAATGCATTTAATTTTCAATACGCCGTCAACAACTGCGGTCGAATATCAGTTAAATGCGGCGCGTAAAATAACTTTCCTCTGTTTACTTTTGTTACAGAAACACGGCAATATGTACGATATTTGTTTTCCTCGATGTATTTAATCTACAAATACAGATGGAGATCGATGAATCCGGTTTCGAATCCCGATCACTAACGTGTACCTGAATATTTTATGCTCGAGAAACTATACGTATTAAATGACATAAATAATATTAAATTATTTTATTTTTCTTTATTTTTTTACATTTCGCTCGCGTTGTATGATAATTAACTTATCTTTACAGATTTAATTCGCTAGCTAGAGCGACATCTCGCGTTTATACGATAAACGAAAATCAACGAGTAGGTTGCCACTTTTACTGATTTTTTCCAAACTTTTATAAATTATATTAAATGAAAAAACTTAAATATTACAAATATTAAGTTTAATAAAATTTATAAATTCTTTGTGAATTTAATTACTTTTATTATAAAATAAAGTTTTGGCATTTTGGAAAAAATATATATATGTACAATGGTTGGCAACACTAATGGGTATGTAATGGTCGGTACATGTGGTTGTAGTGTTTACTATAGGTGAATTTTTTTGTTTTCAATAGTAATAAGGTAAATGTAATGTCTTTGGATTTAATATTCTTGTTTCATTTATATTATAAATAATAAAGTTTTCAATATACTCGATTATCAAAATTCAAATACTAAAAGTATTTTAGTTGTAATACTTTTTGGTGAGAATTCGCAAATTTTTCATAAATTTTGTTACATATTTTGTCATTTGTTAATATCCACTGACGTATAACATTTGCTGGTGCTAATCGGAACAAAATTGTTAAATATTTTTAAATGTTTATTTTTTTTAATCACATTGCCTAATTCTGAGCCAGATTCAACATTAAAATATGACAAACACCATACAAAGTTATAATTAATATATGCAATAAATATTCTGAATGAATTTCTGATAAAAAAAATTATTCTTATTTTCAAATTTATCTATTTTTTCAGAAGTAGAAGGTTATAATAAATACATTCGTTGGACAAGTTGCCACGTGGTAAGATATTGGGATGTTGTCTAAAAGCGTTTGGTTTTGACCTTCTTTATGCTTGAAATTTGTTGATTGGGCATTGTTTTTCATTTCTTTATCTGTGCCAATCGTATCTCTTGTGGATTATGTCCGTTAATTATGGGTTTGTCTGGCCTTGTGGCTTTACCGTGTTGATGTTTTGCATTAACTAATCGATAATCAATAAATGTATCGAAGATAAAATTACTCGAATTAAACGAGCTTTAGTCTACGACGGTGCTCCGCGGCCTTTTCTCGTGCCCGACGCGCTTATGCGCTTCTCGGTATTCCGTGGTGCGCTGCGAGTAAAAATATATTAAAAATATAGGAGTTACAAAGTATACCAAAGAAATGTTTATTTCCTATTATTTTACTCGTGATAATATAAGAATATTTGAAAGTAGTTTATAATCGATATTCTTATTTTTTGAAACGTGCACAGACACTTCTACGTGCTACTAGATAAATGTTAGATAAATGAAAGAAAAACAAACATTTTTGGCCACCTTAGTTTCAGGAACTTTTTTTGCACTTTTTATATGAGCTTGTTTGTTGGATAAAAAACTTTTTACAAAAATTCAGACAAACAAAAACATTCTGCACTTTGATGATGATATATAAATTAAAACTTTTAAAACATATTTTAAAATTTAAGACTGCAACATATTTTTTAAACAACAAAAATAAAATTCAATTCATGGCAAGCTATGCTTTAATATGTAGGGAGTTATCTTATTTATTATTTTGATTTTTTAGCAACCCAGAAATTACTCTGACAAAGTATCATGCAGTCCTAGAATAAGGGGTCTTGTGATCTTCGGTTACAGGACAGAGAATTGTTTACTTGTCACTTCACAAAAATCCAGATGACAATTGTGACATACAACTCATCAAATTTACATATGCACAGATTTTTGTAAAATATGATTCTTACTGTTTAAAGAAGAGTTTGTGAGTAAATGTTAATCTTTCTATTGTTGTTATTTTTTTCTGAAGACTTCTAGGGCTTCTGATATGTTATTTTGTTCATTTTCATTTTTAATTGTTCATTAGAATTACATAAATTTCAGGAACATCTTGGCTATATCTGTTAATTTTTTTTCTGAGCATTTGAAATATTGCATTAAATTTTCTCTAAATAGTTCACTGGATATTCTCCTTCTTAGCAACTTTGCTGGATTGTTTCTTTTTTCTTTTTATTTTTCTTCCTGTTTGTAACTTTTTTCTTAAATGTATAACTGTGTTAAAAGTTATTGTTTGGAATAATAAAGTCTGTTTAGTTCGAATTATTTGAATAAATAAAAAAAAGTTAAATTCTAAAAATTGCAAATATTAATAAACTTAATTAAATATTGTCAGTAATAAAAGATTTAATTTAGAGAAAATGATTTGTGTTATCTTCTCTGTCTATCTTTTATATAATGCTTTAAAATTATATTAGTATAAAAGAATGACTTGTAATGTTAATATATTGATTAATCATTTATAAAAAAAAAAAAACAAAGTTATAAGAACATTTTTGAGTTATTATAATTTATATTTTTGTTTTGTTTTATTTTTTTCTTATAGTTTTAATAATGGGAAATGTCAGTTCGAGTTCGGGAGTTGACGTGTCGGGTCCGCTTGGAAAAGCCACCGTCTATGAAATGCCTAGAAAAGATGCTGTTCCGTCAGAATGTCCAATGCACAATGCTCAAAAACAGAATGTAAACTTTGAAATGACAAGGAAGGATAAAAATGATAACATAATACCTAGTGAATGTCCCATGCATAAATCTAATCAAGAGAAAATTGCAAACGAATATTCTGTAAAAACAAATGAAGAAATTAATCCCGAAAATATGGTTAGTATTTTGTTTTTAATTTTTATATAAAATTGGAATATTGGAAAATTAAATAAATAAATATGTATAATGGAAAAGTTTTGAGAATAAAATAAAAAACTTTTATCTTTCTTTCATCTGTATCAGATGCCTCCACCTAACCAACAGCCGGCTGCCGACCAGCCTTTCGAACTGTCGACGGCTCGACAGCTTTCCACCATTCCCAAAGCCGGAACGGATAACGAAACGTGGGTCTATCCTTCACAGCAAATGTTTTGGAATGCCATGCTTAGGAAAGGTTGGAACTGGAAAGAAGCAAATCTTCAACAAGAAGACGTGGCACATATTATTCGTATTCATAATATTAACAACGAAGTAGCGTGGCAAGAAGTTTTAAAATGGGAAGCACTCCACGCAAAGTAAGTTTTCATTTCTCAATAATATGCAAGTCATTAAATTGTTTATTCAAGAATTTATATCAAACTCAACTGGTTACGATTATAAAATATTAAAATTCCTTAAATACCAGCAACTTTACTATTAAAATATTGACAAACATTTTTGGATGTTTTTGACATCTTTTGGGTCCTTTTTGAACAAATCCTGTGATATTTAAACACTAATGGGCTACTTATTCAAATCTATGAAATTTATAATTTTACATTCAATTGTTATAAAAGTTAAAACATCACTCCAAGTAGAACAGTTCAATGCATTCGTTCTAAAATTTAAACTTTTGAAATCCAACACATTCTGAAGAGTTTGCCACAATTTATGCTTCTTTCTTATTATGCTTTTTCATTTATGATTTTTATGCATTGGAAAGGTCCTCTGCATTTCTCTGATTAATTCATTCCCCCTTTTTGACTGATTTATAAATTTCTATTTTACTTATCATACAAAAGTTTACAATTTTCTATATGGGTTTTATCATTTTTTTTTCCTTCCAGTTCACTTACAAATGCTGCTAAGGCCATTGTAGACAAGCTTTCCTTCTTTGAATGTTCGTACATATGTGTTATTTAATTCTTTCTTTTAACACTTATGATGTTTCTCTAATGTATATTCTTACCTTTCCTGCCCTTTTGTCTTCCAGATGCACAGAATAAGTACCAAGGCCATTTGTGGGGTTCTTACTATCCTTATCATTCCTAATTAACAGGAAAATTATTGGGTCTTTTTACAATATTTTTTTTTTCCATAACTGCTTCTATCTCCTTGTGTATTTTTCCCAACCTGTTGTATTTAACCACTTTTGGGGTGTGATTGTATACATCAGTTCAAGATAGCTGGGGTTTTATTTAATTTTTTTCCAAATTTTATATTTTAAAATTCTACTACATACCTGAGTTTAGTCAACAATCGATAGGAAATTAATTATTCTTGTAGTAATCAGAGTGGGACAAACTATTTTATAAGGCTGGTTTGCTACTTCACCAATTTATTGTTTTTTCATTTTATTGTATTTAAATTTTTTCTTGAATAATTAAATTTAAATCAATTTTTGATAATTAACTAATAAAAGTTGAATTATTTTGGCTGTTAAGATGTAGAATGTTTCCTTTTGTACTTGAAAGATTTTCTGAGGTAAATTTGTTATATCCACATTTTTTATTCTCACTGTAAATTTCACTATAACTTTTCGTATAGAAATTTTAGGTGTAAATGTTTGGATAACTAGTTTAATAAAAGGAAGGAATCATTTGACACTGACTTTGACCTTTCATGTTGGAGATGTACATTTCAAATTTGGGTCAGATTCAGACTTCTTGTTTACCAACTCTGCATATACATATGTATGTGCTATTGGAAGATTGGAATCACATTACCTTCCAGAGTTCTTAACACTAATTCATACAATGTACCAGACAGAGGGCTTCTCGAGGGGCCTTCCCTTTCCTGTATAAATGTTTCACCCTTGTGTGCAGAAAAAGAGGAAGGGTAACATATGAAGTTCACAAGTTTTAAAATATCAATAGTATTCTTGATGTTAGCAAACAAAATTCATAACTTACAAAAGCAGGTCTGAATCTTAAGTGAAGTGTACAATGATACAAAATTCATTACAGTCATGTTCCTCATCTATCAAGCTAACATGTTTTTACATCTCTAAGAATGGCCTTGGCTGCATTTGCAAATTAACTGGAAGTAGATGTGCACTGGGAGGAAGAAAAATTATAAAACTTGTACAAGAAATTGTGAACTTACATAAGATATAAAAAATAGAAATTTATAAATTAAAATATAATGAAGAATACAAAATATTATCTTCACTAGCCATTGACAACCAAAAAACACACAAATCTTCACTTACAGAGGCATTGTCTCAAAGAAAAGGTTGTCTCTGTAAGTAAAAATTTGTGTTTTTTGGTTGTCAGTGGGGACTCAAACAGTGGATAGTGAAGATGATATTTTGTATTCTTCATTATATTTTAATATATAAATTACTGTTGGCCATTTTAAATGAGAAATTTATAAATCAGCCAAAAGGGGGAATGCATCAGCCACAGATATACAGAGGACATTTCCAATGCATCAGAGTTCTACTACAAAGTAACATTCTAAGTAGGAAACATAAATTATGATATAAACTCTTTGGAAAGTGTGAAATTCGAAAGTTTGAATTTTAGAAGAGAGACTAGATTTTCTCACACAGAGTGGTGATTGAACTTTTGTAAAAATTCAATGGTGAATTGTAAAAGGTCAGCAGTGCCCCCTCGGGTCAGATCTGATACCACTGTGACTTCTGGCTCACAGGAACCTTCTGAAACTTTCCATAAACACACAAACAGTCACATATGATGGTAAGAGATGGAGGAAAAAGTCAATAGACAAAGAACTCTGAAGTAATGCACTATACAATGCCATTAACAATAAATCAACAACAACTGCTGTATTACAATCAAACTGGTCTATAAATAACGGCTATAATAATTATGAATTACTAATAAATTTGACCTAAGGATGGTATTAGGCACCATCTTGTAATAAATTTAATAATTTTAATTTAATTAAATAATTTTAAATTAAACTGGAAGAAAATAATCTGCCTGGAGCAGGACTGAAACCCACAACCAGTGCTTGTCGTGTGGATGCGTTGTCAATTATGCTACCCAGACCTCTTGTTTGATCTCCTCTTTCAGTGTATTTAATATTATGATATAACCATTGTCTGTTATTACAGTGCTGACTGGGGGCACATTCAGTGCTGTCATTCTGTAAACTTCCAAATAAGGCACTCAGCTGGCAAGGCATACTTACGTGGGATTTTACAGGATGAGGGTGCTGAATGAATTCCCATTTGGCACTATAATAACTGATGATGGTATTATTGTAATATTAAATATACTGGAAGAGAAGATTGGGCTGGGGGTCTGGGTAGCATAATTGGCAGCGCATCTGCATGGCAAGTGCTGATTGCGGGTTTGAGTCCCGCTTCGGGTTGATTATTTTCTTTCAGTTTAATCTAAAACTATTTAATTAAATTATAATTATTAAATTTATTACGAGATGACACCTAACATGTCCCTCTTGGGTCAAATTTATTAGTAATTCATAATTATTATAGCCATTATTTAGCCATTGTAATATGGCAGTTGTTGTTGATTTATTGTAATGTATTGAGTTTAGTATGGATGTTTATATTTCCATTGACAAGAAAAATGGAAATAGAGGGAGGGTCTGAACCTCTACATGCTCCTATCAGAGAGAGTGTGTTTACAGTTTTGTGCATGACAATAAATACCTTTGAAGTCCAGTGATTGCTGATTGGCTTGGGTTTCTAAGAGAGAGAAGAGTCTGTCAATTCTATGAAGAGTCATGAGTCCAGATAGTAATATCCAGAATTGATCACAAATATTCCAAGTCAACAGTTCTTTAACATGGAGTGGTAAGGTCCAGTAAAACAATGGGAACCTAAGATTGGTAGTGGCAGAGTACCACAGTGGATGGTCACACCATAAAGGGAAGTAGACAAACTCTCCTGACTCTCTCTCTGCTGTGTCCTTCTCTCATCTTTCCTTTTATTTGAAGACTTGCTCTCTCCATTTCAATGCCCAAATTTCATAAACTTGTGCAGGGAGCTGGCTGCTAGTCCAATCTCCAACTTTTGGTAAAACATCCTTTGATGAGTGGATTTTTCTAGAAGATGCATCACTCACAAAGGAAATGTTATCAAAGAGAAAATATTATGAACTTCTCCGTTATATTTGCCATCTCAACTTAAATGATTTTTTACTCTTTGAACAAATATTAAATAATTAAATTGCCTAAAATACAAAAATACTACCTCAAGTTCTCACAGAATTATAAATTTCAAAGATTTGAACATCTAGTCAGTCAGTGTTCAATATCACAGGATTTGTTCAAAAAGAACCCAAAGACATCAGAAAATGTTCATTGATATTTTCATAGTAAAATTGCTAGTATTTAATATCTGTGAATATATTTAAGAATTTCTATACTTATTTAACATTTTAAATATGTAGTTGCATTCAGTTAATGGCTTCTAATATTTTAAACATTCTTAATGATTATAAAAATCTTCAAAGAAATGAATTGACAATATGTAAAGCAGAGCTGTGGAGTCGGAGTTGGGAAAAATGTGTCGACTCTGACTCCAGCATTTTTTTGTTTTCCACAGAAAAATTAAAACGTAAAAATAGCTGCGAAAAATTTCACCCAATGCAATTTTATAGTAAATTGTTAGAGATGTTTTGTTTGTCATTTTATTGCATTAAAAACAAGCTGTAACGAGACACTGGGGTCTCCAGAGTTTACAACTATTTGAAAGAGTTATACCTAATTTTATAAACTTAAATATTGTTAGATACCTAATTACCCTTTCACAGTTTCACAATGGAAAAGAAAGTGTTTTCAAATTCAGTCTGCAGTTTTTGAATATTATACTCTTACTGATGGAAAATATTATCAGTGTAAGTGCATTGTAGAAAATGATGATGGTAAACATAAAGTTACAAGCTGAAGATTTGACACATGGAAATTTTTTTTACACTGGAAAACTTTGATGCATCAGCTTGACAAAACTGCAGGAATTGTTGCTAATGTGATTTTATCTTCAATGAGAAAAAGAGAGATTCAGTTGTTAGACAATAAAATCTTGTTAGCCACTATTTACATTGTTCCAATGAATCAAATTGCCTCAGGGAAAGAAAACATTTCTGAAATAGCTATTTGCTTGAAAAGGTTGCAGTTACCTTACATTTATGAATCAAAATATGAAAATAAAAATAATGAATGTAATGACAACTCAGAATCATCGTCTCTGAAAAAGAGCTTGATTTCGAAGCATATTTGGATAGTTTAGAACGTCTCGAAGTGAAGATGTTTAACAAATCAAAAAACTAAACCAGCAGAAATTGAAAAAATAAAATTTGAACATTTTTTAAATGGGCTAATTGAAATAGAAAAGTATGACCATTTGTCAAAATTGAAAGTGGAAGAAGCTATTTCAATTTATCCAGAAATTATTTGTGATGCCACTAGATCTGTCACAGCAATGCCCCCAACAGAAGTCAGTGTGGAAAGATTATTTTCAGCTTTGAAAATAAAGCTGATTTAAGAGCATCTATGAAGGAGGATTTAATTGAAGCTATTTTGTTTCTTAGAACCATTTTATAAAATTCAAAATTAAAAATGTAATTTAGTTTTTTTTATTTAAATGNTGCCTGGGCTCCGTTCAGAGTAGGGTATCCTCCTATGAGCACCTCTGACCCCATAAAATGACTTGGTATTTAATTTTGCCGGAGTCGGGAATTGGAGTCGACCTACTAAAATTATCCAGAATTGGAGTCTAGTGTTTTTTTTTTTACCGACTCTGCAGCCCTGTTGTAAAGTTACTCATTCAGTTTTAATGGATTAGATAGAGAAATGAGTTGTTGTTAATTATTCTTGGTATTAAATTGTTTGAAATGTAACACAAGCTCATGTATACATTTTAAAAACAGTTTTTATAAGAATAAATAGATTTCTGTCAGACAATTTATAAGCTAGAAATTATTAGAGTTTAGTTAAAAGTAGATGGATTCCAGTGGTGTGCAGTAACATTTGATGATAGGGAAGCTGTGCTGGCCCTGAATAGAATCATTGGAAGCGTTACACACTATTTCGGTGTGTAGCATCCACGAGCTAAATTGTGAGGTTGGTGCTCTGTAAAGCACATGCGCAAATGCCTGTAATCTGGCTGCTTTACAAGATTCAAATATTTTCATCGTGGAAGCTGTACTGTATTGGACGATATAACACTTTCATTGGGAACATGCATATATGAATTTATATTCAAATATACAATAGCAATCTTATCATTTTTTTCATGTGTAGTATAGAAATTTGTAATAAGATACATAATGTGGTTATAATAAAATATTAATTTTAATTAACTTAAAGTACATTAAAATATGAAAATAATCGTGCAATATGTATTTATATTTTAAAAAATGCAAGGGAAGCGGCACTTCCACAGCTTCCATGGACGGCACGCCACTGATGGATTTTTATCTTTTGATAACTTTAATAATTAGAATTAATTTTAATGGCAGTTATATGAGTCTACTGTAGAATTTCATGATCTTTGTCACTAGATATACATGTAATTTGGAATTATCTAACTATCATGTAATGTTTAAGTAAACTTTAAATGACCAAGAAGAAATCTAGAAGTATTTAGTAACTTGATTTTCTTTTAATAATGATGTTACATTTAAAGAACTATATTAGTATTTTATTTACATTTAAATGATTATAGTTAAATTCATTGTAATTGTTTTAATATTTACAAGATGACAACTTGCCTATCTGTGATTCAGATTGTATAATACTTTAATTGATTAATTAAAATGTGTCCAGAAATTTTTAGTTTTTAAAATACAAATATATTTTTCCTAAACATTATTAATAGAGATGGTCCTAAATTTTGAACAATTAATTGAGTAAATTTGTTTTAATCTATTGTCTAATACAGATTTCTTTTGGGAAAAAATTCTTATCTTACATAACTGGCATCCATTACTACTATCCAAAGCTTTCTAAGTAATTTGATTGTGAATAATTTATCAGTAGAGGTATAAATATTTCAAATGCCTTAGGTAAGCCATTCCGTATCTGATTTTAATAATTAATTCCAAAATTTTCAGGTTACGCAATATATTTTACCAATTAATAAAGATAAGATATTTTAATGAGCAATAACTTTTATACTGTAGATAAGTTTATTTTGGATTATTAACAAATAAAATAGTTTTTATGATAATTGCTAATTAATAATTATTCCTTTTAATATGTATATTTTCCACTATGTTATAAACTTTATTATGGAGTTAAAACTCAATTTATATAATTCAGTAGTGATGATAAATTACATAGTTAACAAATGATGGTAGTTTTAATATAACCCAAATTACATGTTTTGTAATATTGAATACAGATGACATCAATAAACAAAATTTAATTTTTGAATGCTAATATTGTTAAGTCTTACATTTGCGATCTAAAGTGACATTTAGACATTGCCACAAATAGACCCCATTGTACTCTTGTTTTGGATTTTTGAGATCATTTTTCGTAAATGTCAAACACGCAATGCATTTTTGACCTTCAAAATATAAAATAAATGGCAAATATATTTAAAATAATGATTTTCAAATCATTTTTAATTTTGCTATTTTTATTAATTCTACACGTATAAAAAGATGTATTATAATTAAAACATAAGATTCTAAAAATAAATGACTAAATTTTCTGATTTAAATTATTTTGTTTTTATGTTTGGATTAAATGTTAATTTTTTTACAACAGAGAATGTTGTAATCCGAAATTGAAAAGGTTTGGCGGGAAGGCTCAAGAATATTCTCCCAGAGCTCGCATAAGGAGTTTCCTCGGGTTTGTAAAAATCTAAATACTTTTACTTACTTTTATTCTTACCAGAATGATTTGGATCAAATTACGATCAATTACTATAACTAAAGTTAAACAAAGTAGGAAACTATTTGTATATTTTTTTAATAGAACTTATTGTTTTATAATGAAAAGTGAATTATAAAAATGTAGGTTTTTTTCAAATATTAAACAGCCAGTTCCTTTTATGGCTGGATATAGGTAAAATGCAATTTGGCAGTAGACTGGCCTCTATGTCACCATTTCTTGTTAAATATAAGAATTATAAATAAATTAATTTGATTTAATTAACTTTAGAATTTTTTGGAAGAGAAAATTGGCACAGAGTGAACCCACAACTCCTAACCATGCAGGTATGTTGCCAGTTATGCTATAAAGACATCTGTACAATCTTCACCTTTAGACTAGATAAATGATCAGCTAGTTTAGGTATCAAAACACTACAGAAGCTGGAATCATAAATAATAATTTCCTTATGCTTCAAATTCTACTTCCAGCATATAGCTTTTTCATCAAACAAACATTTTCTGCCCCTTAAGTGGCCCTCTTCGGGTATAAGAACAAAATAGTAATAGCTCGATTGAATTCGAGAGATTGAATAAATTTTGACCAGTAAGAGATTGTTGTAGATGGTTGAACTTCTACACAGTGAAAAAACTTTTAAAAAAATCCAATGACCATTTGATTTAGAATCAAAATATTCCAAAATTTGATTTAGATTCAAAACATGTGAAAACATTTTAAATAATAAAAGTTTAAGGTTAAAATTAGATTGCATCAAAAAAGGCTGTGCACCACTAAAATATTTCTTTGCAGCTGGTCCTCATCTCTTACATAGCATATGTTCTGAATAAAGCCTGTCAAGCATTAGAAAGGCTTAACTTGTCCTTAGCATTAATTTACCCTCCATTTTGCTTGTTTGCAAATTTCCAAGACTTAATAAGTTTTAAGTTTTGATCTATCAAAGATTACTCTTAAGATCCTAGTTTAATCCCAGCCAGGTGACATACCAGCAGGGCCGGATGCAATAGGTGCGAGGCCCGATTGAATTTTTTTGCGGGGCCCCTCAAACTTTACATAACAAAATTAATTAACAGTTAATTTACATATTGAAATATAGATTTTAAATATTTATTTAAAACAAAATCCAAAATCTAATTATAAAAATCAAAAGTCATGAACCATAAGATAGACAAATTTCTACATTAAAAAACCTGTACCAAATATCAATATAAATACAACTACATTTTATTGAATATAAACATACATAGATATGTTTTAGTATTTCTATACTGTATTTTTAAATGAATATAACTACATAAATTTTTGCCATGAAAAATCTTCTAATGTGTTGATGAATGAATATAACTGAATTTTATTGAATATAAACCTATAAAGAGATGTTTTATATGTTCCGAATTTCTGTTCTGTAAAATCTTCTAAAATAGTATCAAAATCCAACTGGCCTGCTTCTTGACTCTCAATCAACTTGATCACTAAACTGTTTAATCTATTCTGTAATTTGAAACTATTTTTTAAATATATAAATTTTGATGTCCTGCCAATCAGCCCTTCAAGCACGAGGCCCGATTGGCGGAAATCGCGCCAATCGCCTCAAATCCGGCCCTGCATACCAGATTCACTGGAAAATTGGGTCAAACCAGTTGTGTAGTTTATCTCAGTGTTGTAAGAATGTTCTTTCATTCTAGATGTTAGTTATCTTCAAATAGATCCAATATAGGCCAGTTGGGCATTAAATCTGGTATCCATTGAACAAACTTTGTATATCCCAGGAGCTCTCTATTTGCTAATTATGTCCTTATGAATGGTAAGAAAACATCAAAAAGTCCATATTTACATAGTTTTTAATTGTTATTCTGTGTATTTAAATATAATAAAGGAAGATTAACTTGGCTATTATTAGCTAAGTTAATTTTCTAAACAAAATTAAAATAACTCTCATTACAATAAAATAGGAGCCAGATCGAGCAGTCACTTATCATTTTAAGAATTGATATCTCTTCTGTTAGCCTAGTAGTTTATTAATAAATTCTACAGAGCAATGTCTTTTTATGAATACTTGACTGTTATAAGAATATAAATCTGACTTTATGTAAAATTTTATTATGTTTTTAAATAATACTTAATACTTAAATATTCTTAATACTGTAATTAAAGCCTGCAAATGACACTTCTGTAGTACGAGATCAAGTGATCATTAAGACATATTTTATTTTGTTCATTAATTATTTCACAAACATCAGTTGACATTGACTTTTTTATGTATGTTTTGTTCATAATTCTTTGTTTACTGCAGAATTCAATTTAATGACAATATTTTTTTTTCATTTGGAAATTTTCCTTGTTATTATTAACACTACCTATACAAGAAATATTAAAATTTGGTTCAGTATAGAGAAAAATTTTGTGAGCAATAAATTTCTCAAAGTCCAATAAATTTCTGTAATGTTAATCGTATTTTCTTGTTTTAACGAGTTTCTTTCTGTCTGTAAATTTTTGAGGCAGAGTGTTAGTGAAGTCTCTTCTATGTGGCTTATAGAATTGAGTTTGTCCTCAAAATTTGATGGACCAAATTTGATAAAACTATGCTATTTTCTGATAACTGTGATGAGGAGTCCAAAGATGTAATAAAAACTAGGGATCTGTGATTTTGTTTTTGAAATGAAGAACAGCACTGTGTATGCCTGATGGAAAATGGTTTCCAAGAACAAAACAATTGACAGCATCTAAATATAAGAATTGCCTTCTGTGCCCAGTAGATGAAAGGATTGCCTCTCCATGGTCAACAAGTATTAATGTAAGGATTATCTTCTGGTGTGGCAATCAACTGTTTTCTTTCAATCACATGCTCAGATCCACACACATCCCTTACATATATATTCAAATACATGTCAGTGCTCAGGTTACAGGGCAAAAGATAATTTATATATACTAATACTAACTTAATAATTCCTAATTTTAAAAATGCAATGCTCTATCTCAATTCTGTTGTGCAGTTTCCCTAGTACATTTTATATAATTTTTAAATTTCTCTGTTTGCATTATTAGTTTTAGATGGCTCTTTTCTTATTATTTTCAATGATTTGAGTTCAAATTTAATAATTTCTTAATAATTAGTAGCCCGGGATGCCCCCTAGTTGGCATTTTAGTAGCAGTGGTGTTATTCCATGGTATAAATAATAAAATTTATATAAATAATAAATTCCTATTACAAATAAAAATAATAATATACTGAATTATATTATACAAATGCGACTATAGACTTCGGACCACCGGTCTATAGTCTATAGGTCACCGGTCTATAGGGTGGTCCGAAGTCTATAGTCGCATTTGTATAATGTAGCTTTAAATACACAGGAAGCTAGTACATCTCTATCACTATTTCTCCCAATGCTTGTGTGGTATGGTTGCATCTAGCTTTATATATATACTGAATTATACTGTTATAAATAAGTTATGCTATTAATTTAAATAATAGCTGAAAATCATCACTAGGGACGCCCCTAGTGGGCATTCTAGGCATTTCATGACAGATTACAGATATATAAACAGTGGGATCAATGGCTTATATAAGTAGATTTCCATATTGAAAAGGTACCGATTGGAACAGGTATCAATTGATTTATGTCATTAGTGATAATTGGCATAGCAGCTCTATTACACCTCTTGTTTTATTCTCAGATAAAACATCTGATGAAACAGACAAGTTACTTCAATTATTATGATTATTTTGACCTCTCTGAAATGCATTCATCTTTTATGTTGCAAACATTTTAACACTTCATCCACTACTTTATAAGGACACAAAGTGCAAGAAAATTCACTCTGTGAGATGCCATTGAACAGGCAAATCATCATAAAGCAAAGAGTTTTAGTACAAATAGGTGTTTTTAATTAGTGATTATGTTTTAGATCCAAAAGGAATTTAAATGGAAATAGCCATTGCATGATTTCCTTGTAGAAGTATCCTCCAACTAGAGATATTTTAAAATACATCTTTTTTCATCTCTTGTACTGTACATACAAATTTCTTTACTGTAGTCAAGTTTATTATTAATTAAATCCCTTATTGCCCACGCTCGAGTTTTTCTCATGCAGGTTACATAAAAAACAGTTTTTTGGACCTTCCAAAAAAATATACATTTTTTTTTTTTTTGATTTTTAATAATTATCTACTATACAAAGTTGCTTTACTTTTTGAATAGCAAATATATTGCTTGCATCACTTACAAGTGAACTGATTGGATGCTTTAGATCAGTGTTTCTCAACGGGGGCGATATCTCCCTCACGTGGGCATTTTTCCATATTGGGGGCAATTATTAACAATTTATATTTTGGAGGCAAAAAACAATTTTCTGGGTGATATAGTAAAACATTAAGAATAATTAAGAACATTAAGAATAATTAGCTATTTTATTCATTATATCATATAATAATTAAACAAATAACATTATACTAGTGACTAGTCTATTCAATGCAATACAAATTTGGCATAAGTCTCGGCCCTTGGCATTGGAATTTTGAAGTTTGCATCAGGATTCTCAGTGAATAATGTTTAATTTTAATTTTGTTAATTATATCAAAATTTAATACGTATTCTGAGTAAATAAATGTTTATTTGATAATTATATACTTCATAAAAAATAAACTAATAAACCCAACAAAATTGTTTTCAAAGTGAAGGGAGTGATACCACGTAACAGTTTTATTGACGGGATGATGATTTGTTAGAGGTTGACTAACATTGCTTTAGACACAACTGCTAGAAATTAGAGAATGAAGTTTGCCCTTTTTGTTACAAAATAACAGTAATTGTGTCAGTCTTGATACATTATTATTATATTCAATCAATATCATAAACAACTAGTTCAATTCTATAACAATAATGACAAGTAATATTATTGGGCTGCAAATTGTGACCTATTAATTCCCACTGTCATCAATCTGCCTGCCTGCCCTTCCTTAATCTTGAGAATGGTGTTAGACAAAAGTCAAGACCAGATATGAAAAGCTTAGGTGCATGAGGCCTCAATTGACTATATACAAACTTCTGGTCTAGACTGGAAGTCACATGAATTCAATTCAAAAATTTTCCCTGGATGGAGTTACATAGATGAATGGCATGACTCTGTCATTATCAGCAAAAGTATGATGTACAGTACAGGGGTAAAACACTACATATTTGAGATGGAGAACATATATTTTAAATTGAATAAATTAAGAATCAACACTATAACTGGAACCTGTTACCAGTGTTCCTCGTGAAAAAACACAGTCTATCACAAACATTTTCGAACTTTTGAATAGTTCTACCTCAGGTAAAATCTGATGGAATGCTTCAAAATATAATGTAAATATTTGAAAAATTAAATTGAATGTCCGTATCTATATATATAACCCATTCAACGTGTCCGTCTGTCCCGTAACTGTTTGATAACGGACACTAGAGGCGCCCCTATCGTGTGTCGTATTTCAAACATTCAAATTAACAATTTTAATTATTATTTAAATTAACAATATAAATTATTATTATTATTCATTTGGCCCAAAAATTATTATTTGCCCAATATATAACAATATAAATAATTCAATATATTTGTAATAGGAATTTATTATTGTCACGGAATGCCTGTAATGTTCACTAGGGGGCGA